TGCTTCAAGGTTAGAAGATAATGTTGATTCTGAAAAGTGTACCTTGACACCAGTTGTTTTCTTGTATTAATCTTGTGTAAGAATTATGTCTAAATGGATGTTTTAGTTACACATCACGCATACAACATACACACACAGAGTTCTTCATTTTGTTATGTCCAGCTGCTCCAAGCATGCAGAGCATAAGATATGAGACGGAGATGTCAGACTGTCTCCAACTCCTGATGTTTTTACAGCTGTCTGTGTAAGGGGTTAGCCCAAAATCTTATAAATGTATTAGGCTCTGTGTTTCCGGGGTCTCCTTTCCTCCAGCAGCTTGTCTGAGGGAGGGAGCCACCCGGGTTTGTGCTTCTGTAACTTTTATTTGTGGTCTTTTTTAAATAAACCAGCACTAAAATGAAGCAAGTCGGACTCTGTCTTCATTCAGATCTGTTCAATAAAAGAACTGGGGTATAACAATACCTTCACCTATTTTGGGCATCAAAATGTTCAGCTCTCTCAGGACATTCATGCTTCTATTAACAATTTTCCAAAAGATCACACTTTTAAAATATTTAGCTTTATTCTGAAAAGTTTGCCCCTTTCAAATGAATGGGGAAATTCTACTTAAGCATACTTTCAGGTATTTCAGGTATCAAAATGTTCAAGTCTCCCAGGGCATTCATTCTTTGACTCAGAATTTTTATACACTTCACACTTCTGAAATATTTAGCTTTATTCTGAAAATGTCTCCCCCATTCAAATTAATAGGAAAATTGTACAGCATACTTTCAGGTAGATATGCCTTTCAGGTGTCAAAATGTTCAGCATTTTTAGGGCGATCCTTCAGCACATTGCATCAACACGCATTTTCAACAGGAAATGCATTTCTCTAGTTACCAAAGTTGTTTTCTCAGCGGGTGTGTTGCTGAGTGGGGAAAATCAATTTGAAATATGAACAGGCAGGTGATGCTCCGTGGGCATTCGTTTGGAGCTACAACTCTTGTGAACTGTCACCCAGCCACCTGTCTGAGATCCCGGGTGCTTGGGAAGCTCGGGGGGGTGGCCAGCTTGGGCTAAGCTATGTCTGGGAGGCTCCACACCAGCTACCTGGGCATAGCTAGCTGGGCTGTTCTCCATGGTGTGGAGTCGCGCTTCTAAGTCTGTGAGCCTCCCCTCCAATGCTGCTAGCATCTGACATTTATTACAAGTACCATTATCGCTAAAGGAGGCAGAGGAATAACTGAACATGTGACACTCCGAGCAAGAGAAAGGAGGAAAGGAACAGGCGGAAGCCATTGCTCTCAATTAAGCTACAAGCTTAGCTGGCTTCTAAGCCAGCCAACCAAATGTAGCAAATTAAACCTGGGAATTAGCAAGAACGTCTGCAACACAAGTGCTTAAGTGGTTAGGAAACGACCAACTCTATCTCCTGAGCCATAGTCACCCCCCCCCAACAGGACAGGGACTGGCAGGAGCCAGAGTATGAAGATGGAGAAGCTGTAACCAGGACCTTGAAGAGCTGAACAGGTGGATGGGAACCTTTGACAGACTGCTGTTTCCTGCTTCTGCAGTAACCGTACTCATTTCCTGTTTTCTGTGCCTGCACCACATTTGTGCTTGCTCCCAGATTGTTTAGGAATTAAACTTACTGTTTCTAGGAAATCATTTGCTGAAACTGCTGAAGGATGAGAATAAATGGCTGAAGTTCTTTGTTGAATAATCTGAAGGATGAGATGCAATAAATACAAGTAGGAATGTCCTTGAAGAGCTGAACATTTTGATATCCGAATGGCTTTTCTAGCTGAAAGTATGCTGAACTTTTTAAGATGTGAAAATATTCCAATTGGTCCCCACAAAGTAGGTAAAACAAGTAGTCGGCTAGCTTAGAAGCCAGCTAAGCTTGTAGCTTAATTGAGAGCAATGGCTTCCCCCGTTCCTCTCCTCCTTTCTCTTGCTCGGAATGTCGCATGTTCAATTATTCCTCTGCCGCCTTTAGCGATAATGGTACTTGTAATAAATGTCAGATGCTAGCAGCATTGGAGGCGAGGCTCACAGACTTAGAAGTGTAGCTCCGCACCATGGAGAATAGCCCAGCTAGCTATGCCCAGGTAGCTGGTGTGGAGCCTCCCAGACGTAGCTTAGCCCAAGCTGGCTGCCCCCCAGAGCTTCCCAAGCACCCGAGATCTCAGACAGGTGGCTGGGTGACAGTTCGCAAGAGTTGTAGCTCCAAACAAATTGCCTTTAGCCTTTAGCTATCAAGCTCCTCTCCTATGGAACCAACTCCCAGTCTCAGTTCGGGAGGCGGACACCCTCTCTAGCTTTAAAAGTAGACTTAAGACTTTCCTTTTTGATAAATCTTATAGTTAGGGCTGGATCAGGTGACCATGAGCTTTCCCTTAGTTATGCTGCTATAGGCCTAGGCTGCTGGGGGGCCCCATGAGGCTGAGTTTCTCTCCTCCCCTCTCCTCTCCTTTCCTCTCTCATTATGCTTCTATATGCCACCACTACACATCACTAACTTTGTGTCTCCTCTCTCCTGTAGTGTGTCCTCTCTCTCTCCCTGTACCTTTCAGCAGGTTGCCCTGACTCTGGAGCTCTATGTTTCTGATGTGCAGTCACCGGCCACATCAACCTGACAAGTGTTTGATTGTTGTGTCTTGTTGCTTTTCTTCTTTTCTCTCTCCTCTATCCACTCACCCCAACCGGTCGAGGCAGAAGAGGGTTTTCCCTCTGTAATAATAGTGATAACAGTAAGGTCTAGACCTTACTCTGTAAAGTGTCCTGAGATTACTTTTGTTGTGATTTGGCACTATACAAATAAAATTTGATTTGATTTGATAACACAGGGTTCACACACAGAGACAGACAACCACTCACAATCACACCTAGGGACAATTCAGAGCTGGCAGCTAACCTAATCTGTATGTTTTTGGACTCTGGGAGGAAGTCAGAGTACAGAAGTTGAAACCTTAATGTTGACACCTGTATATGTCAAGGTCCAAACATAGCTTTATAGACTATATTATGTACCTGTCCTGGTCAGAGAGAGTGCTGTAAACTGCAGCTTGATCTTCAGAGAGCTGTTTTTCCACATTGCTGAGCACAGAGCAAAACTTCTGCAGACACAACATCATCTCCTCCAACTCATCCAGCAAGTACTGTGGATAATATACAGTATGTACATATATAAGAATGATAAATTTCTGGTATATTAAAATCTACAAAAGTTTTAAAATGCTAGATGTATGTGTTTATAATTTTCTATGTCCATCCACCACCCCACCTTCTGCACCATTACAGTGTGAACCTCAAAACACCAGAATACTACTACACTATATTGACACAAAGATTTGAGCCCTAACAGAAAAATGAGACATTCATACACTGAACAAAATTATAAATGCAACACTTTTGTGTTTGCCCCCATTTTTCATGAGCTGAAGTCAAAGATCTACAACACTTTCTATATACACAAAAGGCCTATTTCTCAAATATTGTTCACAAATCTGTCTAAACCTGTGTTAAGGAGCACTTCTCCTTTGCCGAGATAATTCATCCACCTCACAGGTGTGGCATATCAAGATGCTGATTAGAGAGCATGATTATTGCACAGGTTTGCCTTAGGCTGGCCACAATAAAAGGCCACTCTAAAATGTGCAGTTTTACTGTATTGGGGGGGCCAAGTGGCTGGATATTGGCAGGAACTGGAACACGCTGTCGTATACGCCGATCCAGAGCATCCCAAACATGCTCAATGGGTGACATGTCTGGTGAGTATCCTGGCCATGCAAGAAGTGGGATGTTTTCAGCTTCCAGGAATTATGTACAGACCCTTGCATCATGGGGCCGTGCATTATCATACTGCAACATGAAGTGATGGTCGTGGATGAATGGCACAACAATGGGCCTCAGGATCTTGTCACAGTATCTCTGTGCATTCAAAATGCTATCAATAAAATGCACCTGTGTTTGTTGTCCATAACATATGCATGCCCGTACCATAATCCCACCTCCACCATGGGCCACTCGATCCACAAGGTTAACATTAGCAAACCGCTCACCCACACGATGCCATACTCGCTGTCTACCATCTGTCCTGTACTGTGAAACCGGGATTCATCCGTGAAGGGAACACCTCTCCAAACTGCCAGACGCCATTGAATGTGAGCATTTGCCCACTCAAGTTGGTTACGACAACAAACTGCAGTCAGGTCGAGACCCCAATGAGGATGACGAGCATGCAGATGAGCTTTCCTGAGACGGTTTCTGACAGTTTGTGCATAAATTCTTTGGTTATGCAAGCTGATTGTCGCAGCAGCTGTCCAGGTGGCTGGTCTCAGACGATCATGAAGGTGAAGATGCTGGATGTAGAGGTCCTGGGCTGGTGTGGTTACACGTGGTCTGCGGTTGTGAGGGCGGTTGGATATACTGCCAAATTCTCTGAAACACTTTTAGAGATGGCTTATGATAGAGAAATGAACATTCAGTTCATGGGCAACAGCTCTGGTGGACATTCCTGCAGTCACCATGCCAATTGCATGCTCCCTCAAAACTTGCAACATCTGTGGCATTGTGCTGTGTGATAAAACTGCACATTTTAGAGTGCCCTAGAATGCCATGGTGACAGTGAAGTGTGTGCTTTTTTGGACCCAGGCCTGGGTGGGGGGAACGGACTCTGGACAGACAGGACACATGACCAAGACTGACTGACTCTGTGACAGTCTTCTTATTTAATACTGTATCTATTCCATTGCAAGAGGAGTGATTCTGTTCTCTGTTCCCTAACTACCAGATTACCTATCTACTGTAACTACTACCCTGTTCAGAATAATTGTAATATTAAGTGATTATTTAAATTGGGATGAGTTGTCTGAAGTAATTTAGTCTATCAGATTCTAGATACTACAACATAGTTCTGGCCTCCAGTACTGTAATTTTAATCCATAAAGTCTGTTTTATATTACTTTATATTGTTATGATCGCTCGACACAAAATGGATCCATCGTTAAATTAGTTCCGACTGTACAGACTGTAGATACTGCGCACTGTGCACTGCTGTTATTGCAGTTCTGGTTAGATGCTAAACTGTATTTTGTTGCCTTGTACTTGTAAATGTGTAATGACAATAAAGTTGAATCTAATCTAATCTAAGAGGACAAGTATAGAGACAAATCCTTTATCTGAGCCAACTAGAAGGTGGAGTGGAGCCCTGCTAAGTTATAACTTTGACAATCTATATCTGTGATGACAAACTGATAGTGGGAAGTGGTTGGAAAGCACCAAGATCTCAATAAAAAAAGGCAGTTTTTTTCTGAGAAGCTATCAACTTTTGACTGAATATATATGAAAATACATATACAAAATTAGGGGCACACTATAACGAGAGTGGTATTACTCACAGGAATGTTTCCCAGAGTGTGTTGCTTTTTGTAACTCTTCTGAGTACAGCAGACACACTGATGGTCAGAGGAGCAGCAGCATAGCATGGTGGCTGTTTCATTGTCGTCCTGAAGCTTCTCCTCATCTTCATTTCCTTTCCTGTCCAACTCCCTTACCTTATCAAGCTGCAGTCCTGTATCTACAGACACTGACACAGCCCGGTAATTTCTAGCCATCCCAGGGAGACAGTTATGAGACAGCAGAGGCAAAGATGAAGATGGAGAGAAGATCTGTGGAGGTCTTTGTCCCATTTCTGAGGCACTTGTGGATACAGTCCATTTTTGGGGGACAGCATGAAGAGCTCCATGTGATAACTTTGTGATGAGAGTGTTTCGTTGAATATGCAGGTCAGTCCATGACTGGACAGCACGAAAGGGGGTGGAGGTGTCCAAAGGGAGATTACTAGGGAGAAGAGTGCATTTTGATTCAGTCATGTAAGGAATATCCTTCCTGTGAACAATATGAGAAGATGGAGATGAAGACATCTGAACAGAAACAGAGTGGCCTGATGGGTTGATGTCTGGCGTTGCGGGAGTGAGTATGCATGAGTATGGAGCTAGAGTCAAAGAGGTGTGGGTGTCTGAGGAGGTAGCAGCATTTCTTGAGGTCTGGTCAGTGCACACTGTTGCTGAGGATGACAAAGATAAAGGCATAACATTGCCTGTGGATGAAAATGAATCTGGAGCTGCTGGGCTTCTAGGCAACAGAGAATTCCCTAGAGCTCTGTCTGCCGCTTCAAAGCTGCCTGATTCTTCAAGACTATGAATTGAATTGAAGACCTGGATAGGCTCTGCCCAAAAAACTAATTCTTCAGTATCAAGCTGCTGAAAAAAATTATCCACATCTCCATTTTCATCTTCTGAACCATCCACTGATGTTTCGAAGGCCAGATCTAAGCTGTCAATCTTGATTAGTTCCACTTCAAGTCTGCTTTGTTCCTCTGAAACTTCATTATGTAAAATGAAATTACTTGCTGATTCACTTATTTTTCCATTACTTTCCATTTGACTGAATTTTCTTAACTCTTCTTGATTGGTTTTACTTAAAAGTTTATCATACAAAGTATCAGAAGAGACTGCTTGATCTGGTTCTGTTTGGTTACACATGTTCCCAGCGATTAATGTAGAACCTTCTGACAGGCCTGCAGAACTCTCTCTATCTGAGATGTAAACAGTGTCTTGAGTCTGCATGGTGTCAGTATCTCCCTCACCATCCTCTTCTTCCTTTTTATTCCTCTGAAGGGTATCCTCTAAGTCCACAGTGAAGTGGTCCATCTTAACATGAATAATATCTTGGACAGGAGAGGCTGGAGCAAGATCTGTGTTACCATCATGAGAACATGACTGGCCTAGTTGGAAAATGGATGGCTCTGTCAGGTCTGCTTTTCTTTGGGCAGTTGGATCTCTCAGACCATGTGGATGATGCAATGGCATGTCAGACTGACAACTTGGAATAGAAGGGTTAGGAGAAAGGCTTGGCAGTGAGGGACAACCCTTCTCAAATTTACAGGAGTCCAGAACGAGAGGAGATGGTACTGAGGGACTGTCCTTGTCCAACAGAAAGGTGAGAAAAAAAGGTATTTTGTTCTCTTTGTTTTGTGTATTGGTAGATGTGTCAGAGAGGCCTGTTCGATCTGAGTCTGAGAGACTGGAATTTTTTTGATTGTTATTTGAACTCTGTGAGAGGGATTCAGTTATTGGGGGAAAGGCAAAAGGGGAAGAGAGAAGCAGCGATAAGTCACCAGAAGCAGATAGGACATTTTTATGCAAAGCCACCTCAGTATATTCTGAGTATGTGTTCCTTGGACTGCCAGAGGAGGAGTCAGACCATGGAAAAGACATTGCACTTGATGCAAAATTTGGAGCAGGAGAAGGAAATGAAGAAGTAGAAGGGACATATGAAAAGGCAGAGAATGCTGTGCTTTCAGAGTCTTGAGGAAGGGGAGACAGGTGGGGGCATGGGGCATCTGGTGGTGTCTCCATCTCTGAACCTTGCAGGTCAGATTTTAGGAGGCTGAATGGGACTGGAGATGTGGAAGGGCCAAATAACAATGAAGGCTCTTGTGATGGACAGGGTGAGGAAAGCATAAGTGTGTCAACAGCAGAAGGAGAGAGGGACCCTGGTCTCTTGCTGCTCTGGCTGACAGTGCTCCCTCCTGACAAGCCGGACAGAGCCTGGAATCAAACAAAAAATACAGACGGTCAAATGGCCAGACACATGAACTCTTAAGTATATACTCTATTATTTATCACAATTTAGCAACCTGGCACACATGAAGCTGGGGACTTGTGAAACATTTGAATATGCATTAGTAAGTCTAGAGACCAAGTGCTGCTCAAGGGGGATTTGTTGGGTTTTCCTCTATAATAGTGATAATAGTAAGGCCTAGACCTTACTTTGTTAAATGTTCTGAGATGACTTTTGTTGTGATTTTGTACTATACAAATAAACCTGAAACTTGAGACCTTGATGAGTTCAGGTCCTGGGATGAAGGGCTCTTCAAGAAATCCACTGCTGTCTGACTGGCAGCTGTTGGACTTTATTACACCTCTCACTGTTCACACAGACACAAGACAGGGGAAAGGAAAAAAAAACAAAGGAGACGCAGTGCATTATAACCATATCTTAGGAAAGTCTTATATTCTGCCTAAGCTTACAAGATTTTAGAGAAGCAGTCCTACACTTTGGAAAATGTGGTGGTATTGCTTCTTTCCAAGTGACACATGAAATGTCTTTGTGGCCAGTGCATAAGAAGATCCAGACTGTGTTTAGCTTAGTACAAAAACAAAAAAATTCTGACTGTTCTCTAAGATGGTTCCTAAGGCTCTTTGATAGGGAATTCTAAACTTGTTTCGGAACTCTGTCAGGGTCAGGGACTATGCTGTAAAAAGAAAAAGGCAGGAGGAAAACCAATAAGAGCTTTTTCAGTTACATATTAATAGTGCATTTGAAAAATCATATCATCAAGACTGATGTAAGAGAACTTTAGGACTGGTGAAACTTCCAACTCACATCCCTAATATCTTGCTGTGATGGCCAAAGCCTCTAAAGACTCTGCATTTCTGCATCATGTTAGAATGCCCTACATGTTGAAACTGGTGCGATATAACCACATGGGCTCAGGATGACTTTGGCAGCTCATGAGCCATAACAAAATAAAAATACAAATAAAAAAAACACATATCCTGCATGTCTCAATCAGTACGTTTACAAGCATTACATGTAAAGTTAGTCAGACCACTTCACATGCCATCAGTTCTGGACGCCACTAACATGAGGTGACTCACATTAGAGAGTGGAAATGATTTTATCCACTTTAGATGTTTCTCTGGATCATTAAAGTTGTCTCTGTTTTCACATTATTCAAATATTCAAAGTAGAACAGATGAGTCTAAGACTTTCTCTGAAAAATGCAGACAGTCTACTGCAAAGACCAGATGCACACAACTTAGAGCAGCAGGGTGGGGTGGGGGTTGAGGGAGTGAGCAAGGACAGTAGTTGAAAGACCAACTGAAAGAGTCAGGGAGGAGTGTGAAGTCTAAATCACAAAGTAAAAAACAAAATGAGAAATGTTCTTCTGTAAAGATGTTACAGTGAACAGTTGCAGTAGAAATAAATAAATAAATTATATGTTTTAAGACCCACCTAAATTTTCTGTCCCTCTCGTGTAGCTCCCTGTGAAACTGCCCTCATCAAAGCTCATCTGATATGAAATAAGATTCCATTAATAAACTTGCAGAGAAATGTAAGTAATACAACTACAGCAGAGTAAATAGACCATACAGCACTACATTTTACAATCTGATGCAATCCAATGCTACTGTATATCTTAGTGAGGATGTAATGCTCACCTTTGGTTCTTATAAAACATATTGATTCATTCAGCTCTTCATTCATTTGGGAGTTGAACTGCATAGTACTGAGGGGTTTCTCACATTCTACCCTTCTCATGTCAATTAACATGTTAAAACAGTCTTATACTTTAAGAGGACAATGTTCACTGGCAACATTTTGGAAGTGGTGTGATGTTCTTATATCACAGTGAAACAAAAACAGAGGTCAAAAAACAGATGACACTAAGAACTGAGTTTCTGCATCTTGTCTTGTGCTTCAAGTCAGCTTTTACTTTAAGAGAGTATTTTTATAATTATTATTATTATTAATAAAACATACAGTATTTCTACTTTTAACTGTTTTACTTGAACATTATAGCGAAAATGTAAATAAGCAGTGGATCAGGTTGTGTTGTGCAAATATGTA